CTTCTCTAGACACCCTCCCCTGCAGATACTCTCCCCCTTCCAGATGCTTCTCTAGACACCCTCCCCTGCAGATACTCTCCCCCTTCCAGATGCTTTTCTAGACACTTCTCCCTGCAGATACTCTTCCTCTTCCAGATGCTTCTCGGACACCCTTCCCTGCAGATACTCACCTACCTCCAGGTGCTTCTCTAGACACATTTCCCTGCAGATACTCACCCTTTGCCAGATGTTTCCGAAATTCCTTTTCTTTCAAATAAGTTTTCTCCTTCACAAATGATCCTTTAAACAGATACGCTTCCCTCTGCAAAAATGTTTTCTCATCCAGATAATCATCCTCCTCCAGATACTCCTCCTGCAGGTCCTCCTCCTCGTACTCCTTGTACTCCTCATACTCCTCCAGGTATTCCTCCTCCAAGTACTCCTCCTCGAGAGATTCTTCCTCCTCCCGAGGTTCTTCCTCCTCCATAAGCTCCTCAGGCCCTAGAGACTCTTCGTCATCCATATACTCCTCAGACTCATCCTCCAGACTAGACAGAGATTCCTCCAATGAACTCTCATCTTCGAGCTCTTCACTATCCTGTCCCTCCGAGGAAGCCGAGGGAGCCGAGGGAACTGAGGGAGCCGAGGAAGCTGAGGGAGCCGAGGATGCCGTCTGTGTGGAGGATTTGGAAGCCACGGGAGAGCCAGAACCTGAAGATCCTGATGATGAAGTCTTGTCAGACATGATGAGGAAGCCTGAGCAGACGCGTCCTTTCAGTAGCAGGTAATGTTACAATGTTACTTTACCATCCTGGAAGCCAAGAAAGGAATAAAACCCCGTTAGTAAGTACAAGCCCACCAGATACCATGGAAATCCACTCGTCCACTCAATTCCTTCAGTAGTCTCTTGAGGCCCTTTATGTGTACAGATAAGTGAGTGCATGGTGGTATGAAAACCTGCCTCTGTCCCAAGTAGAAGGACCAGAGGCTTTGCCCTCAGTAGCTGGTGGAGGGAAATATACCCAGCACAACAGGAAGTAAACAGGCAGGAAAGTGGAGGCATGGCCAGGGATTGGTGGTGTGACCACTAGAGAACTTTTGTATTTATTCAGTTGAGAAATACTGACTGCCACCATAAACAGAGGTGCACCACCCAGGCCCCTGCTCAAAGACGAGCTGTTCCTGGCTATGCAGTCAGCTCCTGTTTTCCAGGGCCTTCAGTGCCTGCCATGGTGTCTTCTGCCTGTAGCTGGGGAATGGAAGTCACCTAGTGAATTGGTTAGTTTCAGGGACTTCCTAAAGCTATTGAGTTGTTTATTTCCTGAAGTTTTAGAAGCATTCCTACAGGGTGGGATGTTCGCCTCCACTTAGAACATCCTGCAAAGAGCTTCCTTCCAAGATTAAATGTTTTGTCTCAGAGGCTGTTGCAATGAAACGCCTTCACATATATTCACGACAGTCAATTTTGTACATGCAATAGGAGCTCAGCAAAATCAATCAAATGAATGAATGAATGAATGAATGAATGAATGAGCAAAGAGGGTATTAGTCACATGCTAGGTGCTTTGCTTAACTCACTTCCTGGTTGTGTGCATGTACTTGGTGAAGTGTGTGGCACTTTGTCAAGGTCGATGCTCTGGCATAAGGCCTTACACATTGTATAGTAAACGAAAGGATGATGGATTTCCCCTCGGTGAGGTTTATTTTTAGATCTCATTTTTTTTTATCCCAAAGTGAACATTCTTAGTTGTAATAAATGAAGAAGACCTAAGTAGCTATGACAAGCAAGCAAACAGAAGAGAATACTCCCTCGGCAGATGACTGGTTCAATACTAGACATAGAGGAAGAAAAGCCTGTTTTCCAGGGGAATGATCGGAGAGGCCTCCGTGTCGGGCTGCGGTTTTTGTGGGTTAAGGGCCTATAGGAATCTTTCTATAAACAGAGGGATGCGCAGCACTTGAGCTCTTCCTTGTATTTCTCACTGGGGCTGCAGCTCCATGACTTGCTGGAATGCCTTAGGCCTCGGAAACGAAGTGAAGACAAAGATGTTTGAAGGTGTGTGGCAACTGAGTCCTGGGAGCAAGGGAAAGGTGTAAAGAAAGCAGGCTGGTTCCAAAGGGTGAACGGGTTTCTTTTATACAACACATGTGGCCTTGGGCGGAAAGGACAGGAAGATGGACAAGGGCATGGTGTGCTGACCTGGCTGCTACCAGTGTCCTCCTCCCACACCTCCTCTGGTCTACCTTTCTGACTGTCAGATCTGAGGATGCTGGGGAAACAGTGTGAGGCTTTCCTTTGGTCTCTGGCCCCGGGTGTCATGGCACCAAGAGGCAATTCCTTGTCACCACAGTACTGTGCCCGGACTCTCCTTGTCCCGTGGGCTGGTACCCTAGATCTGTACCTGGCACACCCTTACCTCCTCACAGCACCTTCTTATCCAAGCTGCCCGATCTACCATTCCTGCCCTGCTGGGCAGTTCTGATCCCTGCAACCCAGAGTTTCTAACACACTAAGGACTGCACTCAGTCGTGATTGTCTATTTTGTGTCCAGAAGGGGAGTCCCTGAGGGCAAGGACCCAAGTGCTCAGATCCCTGTCCGACATGGGTCAAGTGATGCTAATTCTAGGATGTATAGCATGTGTACATGGAGATTCCAACTTCTGAAGTTCTCCCATCCAGTAGGTGGTATGGGCACCAGGGTCTTCCCACCATTCTGCCTGTCCTCTGGTTGCGTGATACTGTGCCGAGGGCCTCCTAACACAGTGGTCAGGAACAGCACCAGAGCCTGGGGTGGAGGTGACTGTGTAGCAAGATGGGTGACATGTTGTACTCCCACATAGAGAAGGTCTGAGGCCAGGGTCTTCAATTCTTCAGTGTTCTCAGCTTCCTCTTCTTTTCTTCTTCTT